CATATGAAAATATTGAAAATGGACGATGTAGATAATATGTTGTAAAATGCACTACTTCTGAGACTTAAAATCTTTTTATTTTTCATGGTCATACATTTCGATATCGAGATGATCAATTAAAGGGTTTTTCAACATTAAAACTATCTTTTCCGATGGATTTTTGAGGTGCATCCGTAGCTGTAGAGGTAAGGTTGCAACCTCATATAAACTTTTTCCATATAAATAAGGGGTGGAGATCACAAGAGACCAACATGCTACTCTTTTTCTCTCTCTATCTCTCACATGCCTCTCTCTCTCTCTTTTCTTCTTCTTCTTTATTTTCTTTCCTCTCTTTTTCTTTCTAAAACCCATCTAATTGTTATTTTCTCTTCTTAATTTCACCTTGGTATCAGAACAAGACAAGGAAAAGGTTTATGCAATTGTTCTCTGTTCTTCTTAATTTCACTTTAATCTTTTTTCTCTAGCAGTAATTGTGTCAATGAAGGTGAGTTTTTATTTATTTATTTATTTTTATGATTCTGGATGCAGATCAAATGTTTATTAGAAAACCTAATTTTTTGATTGATTAGGGTTTGTGTACCCCAATCAAAGAAATACTGTTAGTGCTGTTTTTTGACGTTTCTCTGAGAAAAAGAGGGAGTGTGGTCAAATCTGAGGGTGTAATCATATCTGTAAACTTTTTATTTGAAGAGATCAAAGGGTGTAACTTGATCCCAATTGTTGATTAAGATATGAGGGTGTAACATATCTCAACTATAATAGAAATATTTCTACAGACAACAATGCGGCCTGTGCATACCACTCGGATTCAATCTCAAAGCCACAGGAGGGGGAAGGAGATAGCCAAGCAAGGGAAGTCAATGGCGAAGAAGAGGAAGAGGGTGACGACATCAAGAGAGGATGATGAAGAGGAAGAAGTAGATTCAAAGGTGACGAGGGATGACACTCACTATGTTGAGGAGGGCGATGATTCTGATGATGATGGCATGGCATCATCATCATCAAATGTTCCTTTGGATCCACTTGAGTACCCTTTGTGGTGATGCCATAGAGTTGTTTGGTTGACATTAGAGAGTTGGGGTGGTGACATGTCAGTGATGTCACATGTATTTGTTTTTTGTTTTTGCCTTGTTGACTTTGTGTATTATTTTCAAACTTCTAGTTTTCTACAATGACATTTGGGTTTCAAGCGTTTTAATGTCTACAATCTCTTTGAGTCTTTGTATCCGTAAATCTGTTATGTGATTGTAATATTATGTTTTCTCTCTTTCACGAGGCGTTTGGGGCTCTAAAATTGCCCTAAAAACTTCCTAAGGCCTAAAACCCTTCTC